TCTCTCTCTCTCTCTCTCTCTCTCTCTCTCTCTCTCTCTCTTCCTCTGTTGCCTTTTTTCGACTCCTTCTTTTCTCTCTCACCGCACTCTTCAACTCAATGTTTGTTTTCTCTTGCTCCTCCTCTTCCTCTCCCACTCTTTCTACTTCCATCTACTTTTTTCCTCTTTTCTCCTTCTCCTTCAACTTCCTCCTTGTTCTCCTTCTCCTTCCTCCAACGTTTCCTTCTCTTTCCCTCTATTCGCATTTTCTCCTTCCCCCTCCTCCTGCTGCTCCTGCTCCTTCTCCCCCTTCCTCTTACTCCTCCTTATTTTTGTTCTTCTTCTGCTCCCTCTCAGGTTGCTCCCTCCGACCCCTTCCTTTTCTTCCCCTCCATTTCCTACTCCTGTTTCTCGTTCTTCCCACTCTCCAGCAAGAACAACAACAACAACAACAACAACAACAACAACAACAACGACAGCAACAACAGTATCAGCAGAAGCAGCAGCATCAACAACAACAGCAATAAAATGTTAAGAACATTGACAACAACATTAACGGAATTAATAACGATGGCAACAAACATTAACAAAAAGACGAAAACATACTACTGCCACAACTTCTACTTCCCCCGTGCCTTCTCTTTCTGCTACAACAACTGCTAAATAAATAAATAAATAAATAAATAAATAAATGAATAAATGTTCCCATTAAAAATAGATCAGTTGACTGCTACCTAGTGTCTTGTTTCTATGGCAAAGTCATTAACTAAGCAGGCTCGAATGGAACGAAACCTCTCCGATATTTGAGTTTCAGGCAATACGTTTCATAGGAACTTCATGTCCTTTCGGTATGGTGCCGATAGACTAGTGAGTACGAGGGGTTCGAGGCTGGGCTCAGTCCGCTCGATGTGTCCCTGGGAAAGACACTTTACTGTGCTTTTATTTAGCTTGGCCCTTTCGTACACGAACGTTAAATTCGAAGGGCCTGCCTCATAAATGACCCAATAGTGTTGATATTGAAGTAAAACCAATACAATTTCAAATAACGTTATTTCTGTTGCTGGTGTTGTTGTTGTTGTTGTTGTTGTTGTTGTTGTTTTTGGTTGTTTTTTTATTGGGGGGGTGTTTGGGGGGGGGGTATAATTTGGTCTGTCTTTATTTGGTCACGTACGATAAATCTGAGCTCCTTAAAACATTCTGTAGCGTCTGAGCAGATAACCCGTCGTCAGGCCCACAAAGGAAATGGCTCTTCCGCAAAGAACAGACGGAGAAATAAAAGCGATCGATTCATTAATTTGTAATGATTGGAAAACAAAATTCCATGGCACGATGGAAAAACCTGAGGTTTTTGGGGGAATTTTTTCAGGGATGTTTTAACGAATTACTCGTGGGTGGACAAGATCTGTTTGACTAGAGATTTCCGAAAAATGTCTCCAGACCTGCTCTTTTTACTTTCTGGTTAATAATAATATAATCTATTAATTTATCTTGATAGCACATCCTTCCATTTCAGTTGGAAAAAGAAATCCATTACAGTTCTGCGTTTTATTTATTTCTCACAACGATATCAGTTAAAGAGCAAAGTTTTATTCTATGATTACCGACTAATCAAAATAATCTATTACGCGTTTACAATCTTTCTCTCTAACCATTTTTTTTCATTCTCACTGTCTATCTCTCTCTAACGCACGCGCACACACACACACACACACACACACACACACACACACACACACACACA